CACATGATTGAGAAAGTTTCTTCAGCGGCGAGATTGGCCTAGGCGTGCTCGTCATCCTAAAGCTAGCATACGGGACCTTTCTCTGCAAGAAAAAGAATTACCATCCGAATGTCTCTCATACAACCATGGCGCACTTTTCGACTCTGATCTGACGGCCAATAATTATACGCTCGGAGTGAAAGCTACCGAGAGGGCCACGGTCTGGAGTTTTATACAAATCGACAATCGAGGAGGGGGGGGGGTCAAAATAATGAAACCCGCCTAGGAACAATGATGCCAGAAGACTTATCCATTGAGGAATGGATGCCCACGCGTACGCAACGACTGCTACAGCGCCAGCGAACTGTCTCTTGCGTACGCATATCACCTGGTCTGATGGAATCCAATACGCTGTTAAAAATACTATGTTGAATCACATAGCTTCTGGGTATCTGAATACCCAGCCGCATGGTCAAATACCTAATTCTAAAGCTTCAGTTACGAAAATATATCCACCTTGTTCACCTCTCACACGCCCAACACAGGAGGAGGAGTGTGCCTAACGGCGATCTTTCCTGTTTGTAATGCGAGAGGCCCTCACACGATGGCCTGTTATTCACAAGATCAGGAGCTAGACCTTGTATATTATCGCAATCAAGCTTGTGAAGCCAACATTCACTCAATATAGGCGGCCTAGATTAGAATGGTCTTGCCCCGAAGGCGTTGACCTGACCGCTACTGGTATGGATTTTATAAAATGCATAGGCGGCGACTCCGCTGCCAAATCCTAGGCTCACGCCATAGGAATCGACCAAGTTCTCAAGACCAAAGCACTAACTAATTGGAGTGTATCATACGACGTTAACAATAACGGATGCGTTACATGAAACGAACATGGGGGTAGCAGGATAACGCGTAACTATCCCCATGCAACATCTTCCTGAAAATCAAAGGTAACTCATTGAGTGTCACTTGGTCGAAAAAGCAAGAAACATCCAGAATTGCAAAGTTACACAGAGAGTTTTGGAAAGGGTGGCAGCGAAAAAGCATGCATAGCACAGAACAGGCAGCCGCATGGATTCTCCCAGGAGAAAAAGGAATTTCTTGACTGGACTGGAGGTGACACGGCCATTGAACATAACGGCAAGGATATTAGAGCATACAACTAGTGCGTGTCAAGGAATTTCATGGTGAGTAATGATATAGCAAGAAAATTTGGGTAGAAGTAAGATCTTGGAAGTTTATCATCTATAAATACACCAACATGAGGATATATAGAAAGGAGTACTCCGTAGCGTTCAAGACACGGAAGAGTGGAGTGAGAGAACAACAGAACAAAACAAAAAGACGGCCTAGCTAGAATAAAGGGAGGGTATCAGAATCCCAGCAGTCAGGTACGTTAACTGATTGATGTACATATACAAGTGATAAAACAGATTTCTTTGAACCCACCCGCGCAATAGTAAGAATGAAGAGCCGCAGTCGAGTTGCCTAGAGAAGCTTGGAATCTTCAGGTGCATTCAATGGAATAATACCAAGATGTAAATATCCGAAGGTACCAGTTGGAGAGAGTATTTCTCCTAAACAGCTGCTCCCACGTTAGGGTTTCCGAGTGAGGATGCATGAATGTATGCATCGAAACGGGTAATGTTTCCGGATGGAACTTATTGTGAAAATGAGGATGTAGATGGCCTTTAGATCTTTTCTATAAAAAGAAAATCCACAAAACTCCAGTGCTAATGCTCCATGATAGAAGGAAATTAAATAGGAAATGGACCGAAGGGTTTTCGGAGGAGGGAGAGGTCGAGATATTGGCGAAACGGACGCTCATAGCGCAGACAGGGAAGTGGCATTTGGTTTATTTCACCTTAACAGGTTAACATCGATCATCGGTCTTTAAACAGCTTCGGGTTCCAGCCTTCCCGTACCTCTTTCTCGATTTTCGCATTTCTCGCTGCATCTCTGACCTCCATCTCGATTCTTTCGCGAGCGCGTAGTATCTTGCTTTGGAGGTAGAAGCTGCCGCCCTTCTTCGGATCGTTCAGGTCGAATAGTTTCTTGAATCGCTCCATTGTATGTTCTAGGTTTGCCTCTCCACCCATTGGCGGCTTAACATTGAGGATCTTGCAAGCCTCCTCCAGTGTCAAACCGGAGGACGAGAATGCGCCCGTGGAACTGCCAGTTTTCTGTGCATGCGCTTGATATCTAGACGATGCAGACGCTTGCTTGTACGCTTCCGCAAATGCTCGACCAAACACTCTGGTGCCGGTGAGGACAATCTGAGTTAGGATACGATGAGCCTGTCCCGGAAGATGTCAGTTGCAGCCCTTATATCATGGAGGAGAGGTCTGTATCCAAGGCTTACCATGTTGAGCCACCAAGAACGAAGGAAAAGAACGAAATACAAGCCCACAACTCTCCCGACTCCTAAGTATTTCGAACTCGAACTGAAAAGCGAACGAGCTGCAATATCAAGAGTCCGTCGTTGTCCGTTTCTTCCTTCGAGGTTGAAAAAAAAGCCTAAACTTTAATGCAAAAACTTTGAATGCCTAAAGAGGACTAGCGCCGGGTAATATTATATAATATCTACATAATACAAATCACATGGAAAAGTATCCACACGTGACGTAGTTTTTGTCGCGTGCAAAAAGTTGAAGCCGAGAAAGAGTTGGAGTTGAAGATGAAGACAACAAAGTAAAGTCGACGCTCACAGGACGGAGAAGAAGCAAGGCAGGATCAACGACGGCTTCAGACTGAGACTTTTGTGATATCTGTTCTGCGCTCGGGGGATTTCTCAACTTTACCATACATACATACAGCTGTGACGTTTAGGATGAGCTTCGACGGCTTGGGAACAAGGAAGCTTCTATAGTTGCATGGCAGCTCTCGGTAGGTTGTATATACGCCTTTTACCAGCGGTGTAGCCCCCCGAGCCATCGACATACTTGATCGCACAGTTCTAATGCTGTCTATAGATATACCGTGGCTAGGTTCCATGTCCGCAGATCCTCACTCCCAGAATGATGGTGCTCCCGGGACTCTCGGCTCCAACGACAGTCTCCCGCCCACCGTTGCGACTTTCTCGCCCACCAATATATCGGGTAATTCATTAACGTCCAAACAGCGGTCTACTATCATTGTTCACCGAAAGTCACCTCTCTTGGTAGCGACGCCTCCTGCAGTCACTCGTGCGCTGGCATACTCTCACCCGTTTCTTCTCCCTCTGAACCGGCTGGCAGGACTCTTATCATGGACCAGTGGAGATCCGTGGGAGAGCTTTCTTCTGGTTAGTGCCTTTTGGGCTGTCACTCTACATGGTAGTGCCATAATATTATGGGGAGGACCGATTCTAGTGGTCGTCGCTTTGATGCTGGGTCTATACTCTAGACGGTACTCCCCTCTATCATCTACTGGCTTGACTGGGGTGAAACATAGAAGAGAGGGCTCGGACGGATCATCTAGGCCTCACAAGACTCTGGATGAGATCGTGGAGACATTAAGAGAGTTCACGACAAGGTGTAACATCTTGCTTGAGCCTCTACGCGACCTCACCGATTTTCTTTCTACGCAGCGCACTGCAACTTCGACTACAACCAGGCCTGCCCTAACAGCATTACTTACTCGGATAATCCTCATTACGCCTATTTGGATTCTACTTACCCTTCATCCCATATACCTCATCACTATCAAAAGGGTTGTCATAACTGTCGGTACCATCATCCTGACATGGCATTCTAAACCCGCACGCATTTTTCGAGTTCTACTCTGGCGGTCATTGACAATTCGGCGTATCTGCTCAACTATTACTGGCCTGCAATTTTCTTCATCACAGCATAGTGGTGATCAATCATCTAATACTTTCACCAAATCCTCGCTGCTGTCCTTGACTCCTTTCCGCTCCAAGCAACCCTCACAGCACGGCTCAACCAAGCGTCGCGCAAGTTCATCGGGTGTGCGGTTCACATTCATTGTATATGAGAACCAAAGACGGTGGCTGGGTATTGGGTGGACTTACTCTTTGTTTGCATACGAGAGGCCAGCGTGGTCGGATGAACACCTGAATCCGGTGCCTCCAAAGGATGAATTTGAACTTCCGGAAGTTCAGGGCAGCAACTCGAAGTGGAGGTGGGTTGAGGGTAGCGAATGGCGTATTGATGGCTCATCAGATCCGTCTACGAAGAAAAGGGGTAAGGGGGGTAAAAATAATGATAATAAAGACGACGGTGGATGGATCTATTATGATAATAAGGTATTCACTATTCACCCACATGTGTACATCGGCAAATGGATCGCTGACGTGAGTTGTAAAGTGGCACGATGGTCGTCGCGGCCAAGATGGTTGGGGAAGATATACTCGACGCCGAAAATGGTGTCGAGATGCAGAGCTTGTCGAAATATCCCCTGAAGGGGAGACGATAGAAATGCCATCAAAGACAGCAGCGGATAATGAAAGTAAAACTAAGGGTGATAGCGGGAAGGATAGTAATTCAGGAGATGACAAGAACTGCATCAAAGCCCGCAAAAGACGATGGTTTGGTAGCACCGACTTGAAAGGATTCCCGGCCATTGAACCTGAGCCTTCCAGTTCGACCCAGCCTATCAACGCCGAATCAACGTCAGCTTCCTTGTCAATGGTAGGGTCAAGTCTACCCAAGGCGTTGAGTGTCTCTAGTGGCCGCAGCTCAAATAACACTAATGGGTCGATACGGGCTCGGAGTAAACGGCCTGCCAGCATCCACACAGATGGTGACAGACAGAGCCAAACCTCTAGCATTCGTGATAGAGAAATTGAAGAAGCTGAAAACATGCCTGACAAGTGGGGAAGCCAGTCTGGCAATGCAGCTGAGAGAGCGGGCAGAGGCTGGGGACTGGGAGATGACGCCCATATGAGTTTAAGCTGACGAATTTCGACCGAGTTCCTTTTACGTTACCTGGTGTAGTGTTGTCTTGTCTGGGTCATTATCTTTGTATCCTGGCTGCCTTTCAGGAGGATGAGAGTCTCCTATTTTTACGATGTGAACGTGGGAAAATGGGACTGCCGTTGGTCCAAGGCCAAGGTATGGGATCGTATAAGGCCGATGCTGGGGTCTTCTCATCTTCGTCCTTTTTCTTTATGCTGGACATTGGTATATATATTTGTTAATCGCCTGTCTATTAACCCGAACTACTTTAGTATGATAGTCGTCAGAACACCGTATCATCTTCTAAGTCCTACGAAGAGCTCACGCGATGATGTGATGTTGCCTCCACTTGTAACTAGGGAATGTTGTTTATGGAGCAGGCCCAGGATAAAAGCTTCCAACAATGCTTGAACTCCGGCGGCTTTTGGCGGTTCGATATTAAATATTCGTACTTCCAGCGATCACAGCATCCATCCTTTTTCTGGTCTCAAAAGGATAACTAAACAAAACTGAAAGGCCTCGTAATTTCCTCACGGTGGATAGAAACCCTCTCTCGGCTGCCTTTGCCGGCTCGATCTCTCAGCCGCGAGTTCGTACGGATATATGACCAAATCCATGTATAGTTCGTGGCAGGGCTGCTATAAACCGACTATCTTAACGAAGTAAAAATATACCCCAACCCTTGGTGTTTGCGATGCCTGCTTCGTAGTTAATAATATAACAGGCTTAATTTAGTGTCTCATTTCCGATGCTTGTTCCAGCTATGATATTGCGCCCCTCTAATTAAATTAATGACAGGGAAGCATGTTTATCTTTGAGGAATAAACATTCTGTGTGTACTTAAATAGCCGATAGTCATTCTGGAGGGATACAGCAGTTTGCCTTTTCTGTACACGTAGTTTAGGTAAATGGGAAGTCTAATCCCAAACACATCCAAGAGTGCCTTGTGCTTTGTGTCCCCTTGACGTGGGCTGACTGGTGACAACGTGTTTCTGGCTTTTTGGTCGCATCAATCTGGCAGACCTGGAGTAAATTAACCAGAACAGCCAAGGGTCGAATAAGTTGACCAAGGGACACAGAATTGTGTCAATGCGACCATGGAACATGCCAAGTTATCGAGACGAGTAGATTGGTCAAACCAGAACCCAAAAAAAAAAAAAAAAAAAAAAAAAAAAAAAAAAAGAGTAAACGAAAAAGGGGTTGTTGCCGCTGTACCAGTTGCACCAGCCGAAACCTCGTAGTCACTCTACTAAAATTAGGCGCACCAAAGGCGAGCCATTATTCCCATAATATGAGCCGCTGATATATGCCAGACTGAATTTCTCGGTATATTTGGCTGCGAGTTGGGGTGCTCAGTTCCAGGTGCATTGCAAAAGAATACAGGGGGCGCTGCAGTCAGATATATCGATCACATTGTGCAGCAGCCTATCCGCAGTCAAGACTGACTTGTGGCAGGGCAAGTTTGCCCCTGATATCGTCTCATGCATGATGATATATATTACTTCTTTTCATTCTGACAGGAGCACCGTGCAAGGCCACAGTGGTGGTTTCCACGTGGAAGTATAAGTTCCAGTGGGTTTAGTTGACAAGTAGGAAAGGGCAGTGCGCAGGTGGCGAGAGAACCTGGAGCAGCGATAAAACATGATGCTATCCTCTCACCAACATCATCCGTAACTAGATAATACAGGCACCCAGAGGGTCCTAGATATATCGATACAGACTTAGTTGGGATGGAGCATTGCCGAATGTACGGAGTACGCCAGAGGCTGTTCTCTTTTTATGGCTAGTTGGTATAGTCAGTGATAGTCAAGGCAGCATAACCGGGAAGAAGAGCACAGCAACCACGATCAAGAAGGGAAATATCATATGGGGGTGGGGGGAGTACATCTTGAGCAGGTGTGTCGAAGGGGAAATCCCACATAGCGAAAATACTATGAGTCTATCGAGCTGACCCGGGTTCTCCGTCTAGGCGCAGGTATCCACAAGAATTTTGTTTCAATGCCTATGGCTTGCGCTGACCCAGGAATGGATAAGGAGGAGATGAGTGCTGCTATGAAAAGTGATTGGCGACAACACTTCAAGGTTCAATTCGGCTGCAGAGTGTTGTACGAGACCAACAGCGACTTTTATGCACGAGTGCGCACCCCATCGTTAGTTACCAGTCATATTCCTGCGGAGAAATAAACCGATATCTGGATTTCATAGGATGTAGTTGGCCCATTATTATGAAGTCGAATGTTTCGTGAGATGCGACTCAAGTCCGCAGGCTCCAACGCCCCCCTGCGTCCTGCGATTGCTGAAAGGCTGCCACAAGGGTTGCGCAGTTCCTGCATGCGAGATCACTTGCGAGCTGTCCTCTCCCACACTTTCTCCAGTGCCATCCTGTGTCATGTTCGCCGGGATGAGGGGGGGTTTGGGAGAAAGTATGCATATACGGGGAGTACTGACATGGACTTCTGTTTCTTACCCAAGGTGACCAAAAACTACCAGGCATATTTAGCAGGATCCCATGAGAATAGCGCTCCATCCATGGGCCAGACCCAGCCCTCGTTCCCACTAGAGAAACGGAGGATTGATTCAATATTAAACAGGTTAGCGCTGGTCATTGGCCGGAGGACCCTGCCAGGTTCCGGACTTATACCATCAAACAGCTAGACGGAGTATCCGCGGCAGTATAAGTTGCCTGAATGAGTACAATATGGCATTTTATGTAAGATGCAGCGCAGCCTCCCCCAGGCTCGTCGGCGAACTGCATGAGTTGCCTGCAGGACCATGCCCCCCTCTTGGCCGGCCACCCCCCTCGCTCCTCATATTGATGACATCGTCCATCCTTGTATAGAAGGGCAGGATGGTCCAGGGGTCAGGTTGTTCCTGGCCGGTGGAGCTCGCTCTAAACTCCAACAGGCATAGTCAGGGGAAGCAAACAAACGTTCCGCAATCCTGAACAATAATAATCCTTAATCCTCGTTTCCTCCTCGTTGGCGCTAGACCACAGGTATTCTCGGACTGGCGGCGGATGGCGGACGCCCATCCAGCTTTCCATGTCCACGCCCTGGGATTTTGAGGGCTGGAAAGCCTGCTGATATTCCGTCTGCTATTGATAGCTTGAGTAACTTGCAATCAGCCCTGGTCGAAGAACAAGCTCGTACTCCAGAGTCACTAGTGTCGAGGAAGAAGTATCCGTAAATCTAGTTGATCCTAACGGCTCGCAGCCTCTTTTTTTTTTTTTTTTTTTTTTTGTCCTAGCCGTCCTTTCGGGCTGTAATTCCAGGGTTTCCCAAGAATTCAGTGGAAGCGGAGGCAAATAAGCAGCGATCAAAAGAGACGCGTCTGAAAATCTGCTGGAGCCTCTCGCTTAGACCGCCAGCTGGTGGAGTGCAGCAAATACTTCAGAGGCAAAGGCCGTATCACATTCATATTTCCCTTTCCTAAAGTCCTCTCTCTCTTTTCTTCGGTTGCATCCCGACGTCACCGTGTTGAAGGAACGTTTGTTTCTTAAGCTCGTCCGGGTGAATACCAGGCATCTCGTCTTTGTCCTGGCCATCGACTTTGGCCCTCCCTGTGCATATCAGGCAGACTATCGATTCGAATATTGACGACCCCGTGTGACCCTGATCTCCCTGGCTGCTGGGCGGGCAAGCAAAAGAAACACAGCGCTTTTGCTTCTGCCTGCTTTCTTTTTAACCGTCCACGCAATAGGATGGCATACATTGAGGCATAGGTAGCACGGCCCGAGATCTTGCAGCGCTTTCGTTAAGATCAGTCTGCTTGTTCCTGACTCGCTTCAGGTACCGTTATTTCGTCACATCCACCGTCAGTTCGTTGCGCCGGCACTTCCTTCAACTTGGCCGGGCCTCCTTTCCCCAGAACTCGAAGTCACTCCTTTCTCCCATCACATTCGCGTATGTAACACGCTCGTGCCGTGTGGTTGGTGTGTCTGTCTTCTGTGTATCTCATCGTTGACGTTGTGTTTTTTTTTATTTCTAGTCTTCGGCCAAAACGGGAAAAAAGGACTTCAACGCTCGCTTTGCTTACTTTTCGCTGCCGGCCAGGGCAACGAAATAACCGAAATATTTTGATTCTTGTCTCTCGTTAACAGCGACTATTTACTCTCCGTCACACTCCTCTGCGAGGATTCTACAACGGTCGTTTATCTCACCGTTCCGTTGGGCTGGAACCAATTGTCCATATACCTAAGTCTACCGGAATTGACTTCGATCTTTTACAACGCCCTATTCAATTACACCTTCTACGATTAACGGAGAAATCAGGAGACAGAGAGGAAAATATATTATTAAAGGAAGAGATAGCTAGGAGATACACCGCCGAACACCGCCATGAATCGCTTTCGAAACCGCAAGAAACGTGGCGATGGGCCTGATCCATCAGACGCCCCTCCGGTCCCTATATTCTCTAAGCAATTCTTCAAGAAGAAGCCCGAGCCAGAACAGCCGCCGAAGATAGACCTGTCAACGGCACTTCCTACAGATAATGACTTCCGGACCAGTCTGCTAATGCCCAATCTATCGGCGAGATTCAGCATGCTGCGCGAACAAGATGACCCCAACTCGAAAATCGGAAAGGCCAACGATGACAGCGTTTTATTCCCAAAGCGGGCGTCCAGATTGAACTTATTTGCCAATTCACAGCTGGCCGATATCACTGAAGTTGGGTCTTTACACGGATCTGACCGACCTTCCCTCAACATTGGCCGGTCCTCCTATGCGTCTGGCTCAACGGATGACGATTGCCATACCCCGTCAAGCATCATGACTAGATCGAGGCCGGTTGAAGGCAATACGCTTTTTGGAGGACGTCAAAAGGTTTACAAGATACCAAATACCCGGTGTGAGCCTGCTTCAGAGAATGAAGGCGGATCAGAAGGAGGTGCCCGGAGTCCGACTATGGGAGGAAAACAGCTATATCAGAATGATATTGGATCTATATTTCAACAATCAAAGGGTGATGATGACTCGAAGTCGGAGCCAGATCTGCGTCCA